CAAATTCATTTTCAATACAGCAGTTCATACACATTTTGTTTCATGACATTGACTATAATTCTCCACAATGTAACAGCTCTCTTCTCATTTCCTCCCCATAGTTACCTCTTCCCCCGTCCTTCCCTTCCATGCACTTCAGCTGCCTGAGTTATCTTCCTGTGCAAACACTGCCCTTCTGTTCTCCCACGATTGATCACTCCAAGTAGTCTATCTACCTGATGTAAATGTTCACCTCATATGCCCGCCTACTGTTTGGCTGGAAGCCACAGGAGTGAGTTCAGTTCCAGACCTGAAGGATAACCAGGGGCCAGAGTCACAGGGGTCTCACCAGGCTCTATAAGACCAGAAAATCTGGTCTTTTTCTTTTATGATTTTGAGTTTTGCTCCACATTGTTCTCCCCCTCTATCCAGGATTTCTTGCACCGACCCCCCCTCCAAGTGGTTGACAGTGGTAGCCAGGCACTATCCAGTTCTTCTGATCTCATGATCATATAGACTGAGGATCACATGGTCTACTAGTTCCTTGGACTGTTACCATGTGTCTTTGGTTTTCTTCATTCTTCTTTGCTCTGGACAAGGAGAGACCCATCATTGCATTTAAATGGCCGCTTGCAAGCTTTTAAGATCCCAGTTGCTACTCACCAAAGTAGGATGTAGAACAATGTTTTCTGTGTAGTATGTTATGCCAATTGAGCTTGATGTTCCATGTGACCATGATGCTGAGTCCACAGGTCCAACTACTTGCTCCCTCAGGATAGCTGGTTCTGGGAAGGAAGCCACCATAACCTTGTGCCTTGTCAGCTCTACTATACACCTGGACAGTCTTACAGCACATACAAATCCACATATAGAAACCCTGTCTGCCAACCCTATACAAGGTCATGGGCACATTCACCCCTGCCTAGACATACCTCTTCATGCAGCCTGTTCACCCATCTATCTACTTGTAGATCAATGCTTGCCATCACTGACAACACAGTACTGTATATGCAAAAGGGCTCATCTTTGTTGTCCATACCTCCCGTGTACCTCTCTATGTCTTCCTCTTCCTCAGTACCACCATGTTGATCACTCACTTTTGGTACACTGCCCTTCCCTTCACCCAAATCAATACTTGTCTCCACCTATCTAACAGTGCTCCCTCCTTTCCCCTCCCATCCCTGGTAATCAACAAAGAAAGTTTCCTTCCATATATAAACCTTTCCTTCACTTTTTACAATAGTCAACTAATACAATATTTGTCCCCTTTGGTAATAAACTTTTGCTCTTTGAGAAGAAAAAAAGAAAGAAGTATGTCTATGGAATTGAAGTGACAACAGCAACTCGAAAAATTAGATAGGAACCTTATGGGGCAATGAGTTTATGTTAATGAGGAAGGAACAACTCAGAAAAAAGGAGGGTGAGAATGTTCTCAAAACTTAAAGAAAGTAATCAATGTCACTAAATTGGACATGTAGGAAGGGTTGAATTGGTGTATGATTTGCTATGTATATTCCCAACAATCATAAAATAAATTTTTTTGAAAAAGGAAAAACAGTATTTGTCCT